ATGATAACTAGAGGTAAAATTACAATTTTAAATGTATGTGGTAACATGAAATCTGCGTGGCAGTTTGACAAGCATAGTGATGAACAAATAATAATTCAGACACTGCTTTCAAAAAAAAGAGTTTTCAAAAAAAATTAAAAATCTTATCCACTTTCACTTAGCCATTACTGATTCATCCAATTTCCCTTCAGCATCAATGCATGAAAGATCTTTTTTTCCTATTTTTGCTTTGTTCTAACTCATTTTGCAGGCTTACCACGTAATGATATCACCCACCATGATCTGATCGCTGTCATGTCCCCCATCCTGCCTCTGATGACTGTGTTGTCTGCATACCCAATCTTTCTTTTTGTACTTTACACCACCTCCCCAAGATCCCCCAAATCAAGTACTCTATACCCCTGACACTGGTTCAAATGCATGCTACAGACGAGCTAAATTCTATTCTTAGGATTCATGAGAGACTATCTTTTATCCTCCACTTAGGATTTTTAGAAAACTCATGTTCCTTATTTTCAGACCAGAAGCTTTCTGTAATGGGTTCCATCTTTTCTGCCTCACAGTTTTCTTTAAAAATCACGTATCCAGTTCAAAAATTCCTAATAAATCTCATTTATCTTCAGAGGGTGTATCAAGGGTCTTGAAAATAAAGTGTTACTAAGCTGTGTAGAGTCATTCTGTACATGTCCAGAAATAAAGGGTTAAACTGGGATTTTGAGACCCAAACCTTCCCTTATTCCCCAGTCCCCACTTCCTTGTGTGGCCCCTCTTGCTTAAGCTCCATTTCATCTTTATGCCATTATAGAATTCACTGAGACCTTAGCAATAAGGCCCTGTCCATGCCATCAGCGCACACCCATGCAGTGAAGAAATACTGTGAGGACATATTTTTCACCACCCCAATACTTACAGTGAAATTATCCAGAGGGAACCCTAACAAATGAAGTAACAATTGCCTCTCAGACTTGTAGGATTTTTCAAGTGAAACCCATCATTGTCTTGTCACACTTATTTCTTGTAACCTCCTTGTGACAAAGAAAGGCAACACTGAGAGGAAAGCATGCCCTAGGCTAGGCAGAAGATTCCAGATCATCCAAAGACTAACAATAAAATTAAAATAATTTTAATGACATTAATGTGCACACATGCACACAAGGAAGATGAAATATGAAGGTGTTAATTGGAAGTTTTGAGATGGATGCCAAGAAACCTTCCTGAGAAAGCTGGATGCTATGTAATGGATAGTTAACAGAAAGCCAAATCTTCAAGAGCTGAATCAGGGGGAGGCCAGGAATGCATTAAATACAGTGCAAGGAAGGAAAGAGATAGATATGCAAACTGTACTGACAACAATGTTAAATAATAACATAGAGAAGAAAACCAAGAATAATGTGGAGCAAAAATATAGTATATTAATTTTAGAGAAAATGAACAGGGCTAGAAAGATGGCTCAGCAGTTAAGAGAACATGTTGCCCTTGCAGAGGACCTAGGTTCAATTCCCAGCAACCACATGGTGGCTCACAACCACCTGAAATTCCAGTCCCACAACATATGATGTCCTCTTTTCACTTCCACAGGTACCTGGTAAAAACATGGTAGTGTACATGTGTACGTACAGGAAAAGCACTCATGCACATAAAATAATAAAATGAGTAAGTCTTTAAAAGATTAAAGAGGATAAACAGATGCCCATGTGTTATTTGGGAGAGGGGTTACAATTCTCACAAACTTTTAGTATTTAAGTTAAATGCTTATGTAGAAATGTGAGACTCATAGATTATCTGGGATATATATTCAAGCCATTAGAAAGGGTTCAACGAATTGAGGGAAATCTCAATCCACACAGAAGGCGATAAAGTACAAAGGAAGCAGCACACACACACACAGAGAGAGAGAGAGAGAGAGAGAGAGAGAGAGAGAGAGAGAGAGAGAGAGAGAGAGAGAATGTAAAATGGAAAATACAGTGTTCTAAATAAGTCAGAATGCATTTAATCACAGTAAATGTGAATACATTAGGCTGCACAGTGTGAAGACTCTCAGAATCTATCTTGTCTTTATAAAATATACATTTAATGTAATAATCTACAATTACAGAACATTAAATGTAGCAGTATACATGGCAAGAGCACAGGAATGATGCAAGAGCAAATTTAGCTGCATTAGTGTCAAGCAAAAAAGCATTATTATGGTCAATGAGAGTCAGAAAATACTGATAAAGAAATCTCCCAGAATGCAGCAGTGAGATGATGGTTTGGGAAGCAGCTTAGAATAAACAAGGAAATTGTAGGGATTACTCAACATATTTAAACAAAATGTGTTTCAACAGGGAGAAAATGAAGAAAAACAGAAAAGATGAATATTTCTCATTTAAAAAATTAAGAAATTATAAAACATGCTTTCTGAGATCGAGATGGCCACTCTGTCGACTTCTTCTGAAGACGTATGAATGGGCCCATGTAAATACATGTCATCAGAGAGTTTCTAAACCTTGGGACACAGGAGATACATGAAACCTCTACAAAGAGAAAACAGGTCATGTATAAAGGATTAGAAACTGCAATGGCTTCAAGTTTCTTCAGTGGACCCACTGAAAGGTAAAATGCAGTGGTGTCATATCTTGCAGACACCTGAAGGAAGATTATCTCAAGCCAAGAATACTGCAACTAGTCAAACTCTTGATGGGGCAGGAAAATGAGGAGATATTTGTTTAAATCCATAATGGTGAGTGAATATCTTTTGCACAGGTACAGTAACGGGACATTTAAACAAGAAGTTGATGGATAATGTGATGCTTGAACTTCTGATAAGAACACAGAGATGAGTCACAGCTGGGAAAACCAGAAAGGGCAGAGAAGGAAGAGTAACCACAGGATGCTGCTGGACGCTTCAGCTACAGAGTCTATTGCTTACAAACACTCGATATTTATTGAACCAAAGGGATGACCTACCTATGTGAGAATGAGTTGATGTCAATGGGGCAGATATGAAAGGATTCTTAAAGCTCAGATTTCAGGAAGAGAAGCCAAAGATGAAGCCTAAAGCTGACGCCCCAGAGGGAAGATAGATAATTGTATTCCTCCATGGTGTGGAAACAAAGTATAACGAATAAATGGATCTCCTAAACAAATTAAGTCATTTCCTCTAGAGTTTGTTCTTTTTCTCAATAAGGCATTGCTGACTGTTCTTCACAGAGGCTATCGCTCCTCATACTCCCTTGAGCAATGTGTGACAACAATTCGTTCCACACTGCTTTATCTTTCGGGTCCTGGAAGGAACACGTGCCAAGCCAGAGTAATCCGTGCAAGAATTTGACTAAGATAAATAAATGTCTGGGGGATAGAAAAGATAAAGGATAGGAAGCGGGACTCCAAACATAACACAGATCTAACAGCAGTAAAAGTGAACAGAAGATTGGCATAGGAGAGTGCAGTGCAGTTACAGAGAGCATGAAATAACAACTGGTGGGAGGAATAGGCCGTGAACTTGAAGGAGAGCAAGGATGCATACATGGGAGGATTTGGAGGGAGGGAAGGAAAAGGAGAAATGCAATCTCAAAAGTAAATCATCAGCAACCAAACAAACATCATCCCAATCCCTTTTAATGATGGGTCTCCCTCCATAGTTAGTCACAGACTGGGAGCAGCTTTGGGAAAACATGGCTTCAGGGTGGCCCGAAAAGGCGCCACTTTCATACCACTGTGTTTAGTGTGGTGTTGTCTTCTAGCTCCTGGCTGCACAAAGAGTCAAGGGGAAGTGGCTTAAGCATGCCTGCTCTTGTTGCTCTCTGCAGTGTAAGTAATCCCACTGTGGCCAGCTTCAAGAGACTCTGGCTTCTGAGCTTGAAGTAAGCGGGAACAACTGGCTTTCCAAGCCAGTGATTGGCCCAGGACACTGCTGCCCACACTCTGTATGGTGAAGGAGGGTATGCAGAGTTTACAATTAGAGAACTGATCTCAGTCATCAACTTTTCCATAAAGTAATAGTGAAGTGTACAGTATCAAAATAAAAAGTCAACATTTAATTTGGGAGGAATGGGTTTAAATATCAGTGTAGTTGGTTGAAACAGAAAATCTATGGAAAAGTCAACATACACGGAACAACAACCATAACTGAAGACTGCACAGTGCCAGACTTCGCGACTGAGTGGTCTAACAAGGACACTGTAGGATCTTTAGGAAAAGCAATAGGGTAACATAATTTTTTAAAAATTTAATGAATATCTTATGCTGCCTGACTTACGTTTTATTATTGGCTGCATCCCACCCACTTGCTGTAGTAATCTGTAAGACATCCACACTTCAGTCGGAGAGAAGAAACTATGAATGGAGGGATCTTTTAAGATATGACATGGTTTAAACATTCATATTCTCACAAACACCACAGAACATAACCTTGAGTGAGGTCAAACATCAGAACTCATCAAATACACTTTTTTACCTACACCTGCATTTATAAAGAATTTAAAGCAGAAATCAAAATGACTGCAATTCAAAATTTGCTTCTTCATGAAGATATGTTGATTTTTATGTTAACTCTTAACATGGCCACCATGTGTGCCTTGAGTGGAGAAGTCATAAGGTTTGTAAGGGCATATGTGGACTTTTAAAGAAAATGTATCTTTTTCCCTAACCCACTATCTGATTTGTGAACTATATTTGACTCCAAATGCTGCTGTTTTTATCTTTCTCATCCTACTGACCTTCCTCCTCTATCTCCTTCATCTGCTCCTCCTGCTCCTCCTCCTTTTTCTTCCTCCAATCACAACTTTCAACCATAGCCATTTTCCTAGTAATTCACTTTTTCAGCCAGAAAGCATGAGAAAACAATGGACAAAAGTAAATTTAAGAAAGCTATAATCTGTGGTATGTGCTTAATAACATTAGGGTGGTAGGAGACACGGGAGTACTGAAGACAATACATCACCTGTGAAATCCTTTCACTCCACTGTTTTCAAAACATTTGCTCTTCAGTACTTCAAAAACAAATCCAAAAAGCTTACCTCGTCCACATTCTCGAAGGCATTGATGATGTCGTAAGGTAAACAGGACAGCAGATCGATCACAAACCATGTTTTCAGATAGTTCATCCTTATGAGCTTTGGGTCAGAAATGACCTCTCCACCCGGCCCCACAAAAGTCGTGTGAAAATTTAAAACAATGTCAACCAGAAAAATAACGTCCACCACACTGTCCAGCACCAGCCAGGCTATATTGTTCTGCTTTGTTTTGAAGGAAACATTGTAAGGAACCATGATGGCGGTGTAGAAGGTAAGAATTAAAATCACCCAATCCCAAGTAGTTTTAAAAGCACAGTAGTGTAAAATGATGTGTGGCGGCGTCTTTGGCGCTTCTTGCTTGTACTGAGGAAGGATGTCTGACCCCAGCTGAAGAACCTAAAAGGCAGAAAAAGTGCATCTAAATGATTGGGACATCTCTGAAATCAGATGTAACTGCATATCTGCTGGCACAAATCAAACCACAACCTGAACCTTACGATTCTTGGTTTTAAGACAATCATACTCCATTGTTTCATTTTCCCTCTTCAGAGCTGTTCTAAAGTTTGCTCAAATGTCCCATTCAAGGGCAACTCCTCCACAAGTTGATCTGATTAAAGTCCATCTTCTTGGCTCTCCAATGGCTAACCTTGACCCACACCACAGTGTCTCAGGTGTTCCTACCCATGTACTGGGCAAGTCTGATAAGAGCTTGACTGTTCCATAGTTATTTGGATGACTGGCTACCATCTGTTACACACATATTTGGCACCTTAGAAAACATATTTTTTGCTTCTGATGGCCACTGAACCCCAAGGTCTCGCTGTTGGCAGTCTTGCTATTCTGTACTTGCACAGCAAGAACCCTGATGGCCAACAGGACAGTATTGGGATGGTACCGGATGCATTCTCTTTTCTCTCTAAAACCAGAACTTTAAAAGTACATGGGTTTTTTATCAGGTGCAAGTTTCCTTTAGCAAACAAAATAAGACACTAAATGATCAATGCAAGTTTATATGAACCTTAACTTACTCTGTTAGTTCTAAAGTAAGAGAAGGAGAAAAGCAGATGACCCAGCGAGAGCCAAAGGTGACAACCACAACACAGGACTTAGACTGCTTTTTGGAAACTGAGAAATGTGAAACCAGTTGAATGATCCCATCTAAAACTTCTGCCTTGTGCAGTAATTTCACCAGGCTAAGAGAAGTGTCAAGGACTGTGACCATGAGGCTTTCTGAAGTAATATTTCTAGTGGACTTTTAGAACTCATGCAATCAGTTACTCAGTGCTTGCAGAATAACATCAGAACCATGGAGGAAGGAGTCTAAGTGATAAATGCATCAACCATTTCAATACATCAATAAACGAAGTATGCATTAGCATATAGCTCTTTGGTTTATCTTCCATAGAGCACGTGCACACACACACACACACACACACACACACACACTCCTTTTGAAGCTGGGATAGTATCCTAAAATTTCTCAGACATTGAGCTTACATAACTAAAAACTAAGTATATAATACCTTGCTACTTTCAATATCAAAAATGCTATTAATATTTTCTTCAGTTGTATATTATACTTACAATTTTTTACTTGAGGCTATTTGAACTATTTTAAGGATATTTCACATATTTACTTACAGTCTCAGTGCCCCAGATATATTTTACCCCTATGGTCTTAAATTACTTAGTAGCAATTTATCCTAGCAGGAATGTAAGCCCCATGTTGGGGAGGAGTGTTAGATTTAAATAACTACACATAATTACGGCTTCTCTCTTACCTTCCAACCACCATCAGCTCTAATTTCACTGGGAGAGGGGGTGGGGTGGGAAATGCTTCTCTTTGCCAACTATATCTATGGTTTCTATAGTTTGAGCTCAAGGAACAATTCTATGTGTTTGTAATATTATTTCCATTGGAGTCTTCTAGGGAGGGTTTGTAAAGTGTGGCATATTCATACCTAGACCCCACCTCCCCCCCCAAGGATGATGGCATTGGCCTTTAGTGGGTTTTCCGGAAAGTCTTTCATTTTACCTTTACCCGGTGATAACAGTATATAGATCACAATAGCATCTTTTTCTTCTTTCTCCATCTCCAACCCAACTAGTTGGACAGGATTAGCAAATGAGAAATGTGCCAGGAATTCTAGAGGAGGAGGGAAAAAAAGAGAAGGAGGGAGGTGGGGGGAAATGGGGAGAAAGAGGGCAGCAGAGGAGTGGGGGAAGGTAGGACCACAGAAAATGATGCTGTAGTGATTTGCAAGAAAATGCCCCCCCCAGAGGGAGTGGCCTTGTTGGAATGGGTGTGGTCTTATTGGAGGAAGTGTGACCCTGTGGGAGCAAGCTTTGTTGTCTCTTTTCTCAAGCTTCAGTCAGTGTGACAGTCTTGACTTCCTGCTACCTTCTGGTCAAGATGTAGCTAGCACCACATCTGCCTACATGCTGCCATGCTCCCCATCATGATTTTAATGGACTGAACCTCTGAAACTGTAAGCATCAGCTGAATGTTTTCTATGTAAGAGATGCCATGGTCATGGTGTCTCTTCACAGCACAATTGTTGGGATTTTGACTTCTCTATGATGCAGTGAGTGACAGCTTTATTCCCCAGTATTATTTTACTTAGAGTGGTGTGAGAATAAAATTGCATTTCTGGATTTGCTTTTGTACCAATAGCCACACTCTTTCCATCTGAAGATTTAAGAGCTACCGCTTCTAACCCAGTCTGGCCCACTGATGAGTAAGGGCAGGTATTTATTTCTACCCCATATGAACTGAATGCCATCACTAGGATGTCAGTACATGTAAACATTTCATTAACTGCTTTCAGGGTGAGGGTACAGTCTTTGAAACTATGATCCACTCCAAATTGAGAAGATCAGGTGAAGCAGAGATCAAATTTATGTGTCATGGGAGAAGTGAAATTTTCAAAGCAACGGTCTTGAGAAAATTATCTTAGTATTGGAGTACAGTATAATGGACAAGACAACACTCCTGTGCCTGCTCTGTTTTGGGAAATCCAGGGGAACACTCCACATGACCATGGAAGAAACCTCCATTGAAGAGCTGGCTACTTCTTTCTCTAAAACAGCAAGCCTAAGACCTTGCTGGAAGCAGTTTTGTGTTAGACTCAGTTTTATGAATCCCAGTTCACTGGCTGATTAATAATAATAATAATAATAATAATAATAATAATGTCAAAAATAAAAGGGGAAATTGTAAAGTCAAATGAGAAGAGACGAGAGTGAAGAATCCTCTGAAATAAAAGTGGTAAGATGAAATGCAAAAGCTTGCATTTAAAAACTGCTGAGTGGTTCTGGGTCCAGGCCCCTCCCCTCCAGTAGCTGAAAGAAAATCTGAGCTTAAAGTTGAGACAGGGGCCAGAGGAAGCAGGCATGGGAAACCTGAGCTCACAGACACAAGCTGAGCCCTCGGGCTGGGCTTTGGCAAAGGAACTAGACACTTGAAGCAGAAGAGAAGGAAACTGCAAAGCAAGCAGTAATTCTTAAGGAGACCTCTCAGAAAAAGCAGGTCCACCTGGCGGCTCTAACTCCCGAAACAGCTGCTATTCACCTCTGCATACAGTGTCACCAGATCACTTAATAGTACATGCATGCATGCATGTCCTCTTTCAGTTTAAGCATGGCTATTCCACAGAGCATTCCACTTTTCCCATGGTATTAACAGCTATTTAGAAAAAAATGGAGGTCTTTCCTGTTAGTTATGAGCTAATGAGAACTCCAGAACTCTAAACTTGAAGAATAGACATTATTTCCCAACCCTCTCTAAACAAAAATTGGTATTTGTAACTAATTAAGAAGTGTCTCAACTAACATCTTTCTGGCAGTATAAATCAATGAACATCTGGTGGTGTTCTCTTTGCCTCTAAGTTAACTCAAAATATTCTATGAGTTCCCACTATAGGCTCAGCATAATTTTGGTACCTTGGTCTCTCTCTCTGTCTCTCTCTCGTGTGTGTGTCTCTCTCTCTTTCTGTGTGTGTGTGTGTGTGTGTAAGCTATTTGGGGTGGGGTGTGTGCCATGACACACATGTAAAAGTTAAAGGAAATTTGCAGAAGTCAGTTCCCTGCTTCCATCATGCGGGTTCCAGAAACAGAGCTCAGGATGTCAGACTTGGCAGCAGCTACCTTTGCCTCCTGAGCCATCTCCCTGGCACTAACTCTCCTACTTTTCCTGAAGTCACTCCTCTAAGTATCACCTCCCACTTGTACCTGACCCTAGAGTCCCAAGTCTGGGTTAATGCTACCATATCTTAAATTCTTTATTCATTTCCTATGCTGTGTCTTTCACTCTTTAGTAACAACCCCTTTCTTAATCATCTTTACATCCTTCACAGAAATCCAAATAGAGTGGAAACCCTTAACTAATGTTGTACACACATACACACGAATGAATAAATTCTCTGTCCCATTTGTTCAATTAAATCACACAGTCTCTAAGCATCGCCTAATATAACATGAACTACATTTCCACACAGAAGTGGGAGAGAATAAAGAGGAATATTTTAAATTTCTACAGTTCTACAGAGAAAACACAATTATCACTGATAATCTTGGGGGAACTGTATCGATGCCACTACTGTGAAAAGCAGTCAGTCATTCTCATACTTACTTCAGCTAGTCGTGAGTGTTTGTGGACTGTCTCTGTTTTGTTCATTGGTGTAAGCTGCTGTAAAACACTTCGGCTATTTGTCAAAGCCCGTGTCAATCGAGCAAATTTTGTCCAACCTTAAAAAGATGAACAGAGAGTTTTGGTTATTTATATACCATGAATTGAAAGTCCAGCATGCTCTTAGACAGTAGGAGGATAACAGCAACCACACAGTATCTAGAAAAACTGAAAAGTATCACCCGTTCCTATATAAACACCATCACATATAAGTGTGACTAAATTAACGCACTTCCTAATATTTGTAACATTTTGGTCTTTCTCACGTCTACTATGTAATCCCTGAAGTCATGGTAGATAATAGGTTAAAAAAGAATTATCCGGTACTGCTTGAGTTGTATGGGTTTGTTAAGGGCAAACAACTGCCTAGCCAGCAACTCCTTTCTCAGCATCCCATACATCTGCATGTTCCAACTCCCTAGTTTTCATTAGTGAGCACTAGGGACTTGGAAATGTAAGCAGAAACAATGATGCCACATCTGTATCCCCATTTTGGGAGCAAGTTGGTATCACACTTCCTACTCCTATCAGCTGGATGCAAATGGCAAGCCCTCTGATGAAGGCAAAGCCACTGAATCACTGTTTAGAAAGACGCCAGCCAGGGCCACTTGCTTTGGATTATTATGTGAACAATGTTTCTCCTGTGTCAAATCAAATTTTTCCTTATTGATAGAAAAATACACAACATTACTGTTATTACTGGTTGTTAGTGAAGCTACTACCACCCTAATAAAAACAATTCTACTGTGTGTTGTATGCAGAGGCACCCACCTAGGAGGAAAAGCCCAATTCCAGCCACACATATTATGGTTCAGATCACACATTCCACCTTCCTTATAGCATAACAAATGTTATTTCTCTCGTTAACGACTGCAGTACTATCTAAAAAGTTATGCTTGGAATATCTAAAAACATAATCATGTTTTCTCCAAGAGAAGTTGCTTTGGGGAGAAACGAATGGGAATTTAATGGGAAAAATTCTCCCAGCACCTCAAGTTGCCATTATTAAAATCATCAATTTCAGAGAAATACCAATGAGGTGTGGAACAAATAGAGCAAAACCAGCCATATCATGGCCCTGTCTCAACTCTAAGTTCTCTACCTAGCTCCAAAGCTCTGCTCTATTAGAGATTTCTCTAAACCTACTTGATCATGTCTACGGCATTACCTTTTCACAAGATAGTCTCCAAACAACCCCTTAAACGTGAAACCTCCAGCTGGTCACAAGTGATGGACCCAGAAGCATAATGAAATTTCAGATGATTCAAGAAACACTGAATGAGTGTGCCCTGGACCTACAAGAGACTAATGCCTGTCAAATCACAGAGTGCATGCGATGCTAGACTTTACTATGAGCCTTCAGACAAGTCATTCAGGCTTCAGACTACTCCCACCAATTCAGTTCTTCCTATGTGTCCAGTGTGAGAAGTAAGCTGGCATTCATTGATAGAAAGTCCCTTTTTCTCCTTTGCTAATGAGATTTACCTTAGTCTGAAAAGTAAAATCAGGTTGGGGACATTACTAACAACCCAAGATTCTGTATGGTGTTCCAGTCTCACAATGAGGAAACAAAGACACCATCAGTTCTCCAGAAATTGAGCATCAACATATAAAATCAACTTGTATTTGCTATCAGCAACCTTGACTTTTCTTCTGTGTGCTTGACCTGCACTTCTCTCTGCCATTGGCCTCCATCTTCTAAGATATTCTACAGACATACACTCCCAACAGACCTAAAATTCACCTCATTGTTACCTTCTCTCCCTGTTACAAACCCTAAATCCTTCATATATCCCTGATCTTGATAAATTAACTGGTGCCCTTTCTAACCATGCAAGCCAGTAATTTAACATCCACTGTCTTTTCACTATCACACAACACACATGCACAAGCCTTCTAGTTTACAGTTTGTGAATCTTTCAAACTGAATTCTTCTCATTCCTACTTATCCAGGAATGTAGCATGTGTCACTGCAGTCAGGGACAATGCTCTGAGATCCATACATGGTGAGATTCATTCTGAAACACAAATCAGATCACACATTCCCAATTCAATTTTTCACATCAACCTGAAGACTTCCAGGATGACACTGTGCCCTTGGAAGAGAGGTCATGTGGCCTTTACCCACAAGGATTTATACTATATCTGTCTTCAACCATCTTACTGTTCTCCAACCTTATAAATTCAAAATATAATTAAATGCTCTGAAGTTCTTTGTTTATATATGGTAATACCCTGCTTGTCTACAATTCTCTCCCTCTCTCCATCTGTTTGTCTAATGGCAGTTCGGACTCAAGTGAAGGATTATTGCTTTCTGGAAATCTCTTTGATCCACATATAGGAGGGACTTGTCTTCCTCCACAAACCACAGCACACACATCATGTGACAGTAACAATATCGGTGTGATCATGATTTACTTTGGGCTATTAAAGTTCATCTCTTAATGGTAGCACTAAAGGATGCAAGTAAATTAACAAAAGACAACTGGCCAATCCAATTTTACTTGAGACTAAAGCCCATCCATGTCTTATTATAGGGGGCCTTGATCAGCTTTACTGGGTGGGATATAAATGTAGGGCACTCTCAGGTGACAGTGACTATTTCAGTCACTCCTCATCAACATGCTAAAATATATCTGATAATTCCTCATCTTACATCAACTGAGTATTATAGCTGCATTGGCTATTTCTAAAGACTTCTTAGCTCATCTTTTTCTTATGGAAGGCTCACATTTCTGAGAAAGGTGGTGTTGGATTTCTGTATATCTAAATGGGGTTAAAAGGGACCATTTTCATTCTGTGTACAATAGTGTTTGTCTAGAGGGAGAGTACAGACAGACCTTCAGAAGGCTGGCATTCACTCATCTCACTATGCAGAGAGTGAGAAGTGAGGTAGAAGAAACAAAACTGTGAAAGCTATTGTCACATAGTGATAGTGCTGCGTTCAATAATTAGAGAACAGTAGTTCCTAATTTAAATACTCAGAAAATACTTGTTTAAATGTGTCTGTGTACAACTATATAAAATCTGACCAACACAACTTGTATGGGACACTGTTTACATTTTTGGATAAAGGAAGCAAGGAGTAAAAAAGTTGCACATGGATTAGCATGTCAACAATTAAAATTAAGATGTGACAAAGGAGCTGGACTCGGCTTTCAGTAGGCATCAATACTATTAATGGCATTAGGTAGGACTCTGGAGTAAAGAAGACAGAGTGTTCCTAGTCTTCGGAAAGAACTGGAGGATCCACTTGCTAGCTGAGAAAGAAAGGCAGGCTAGGTGATGGGCCAGCTCTGGCATAGGAGAGCACAGAGATTAACAGGCAAAGATTGGCGAAGGATCCTTTCTTCCTAAAGAAACCTGAGTCAAGGGCAATTGTCAGGGAGTCATCATTTAGGATTTTGCTATCAGCATGCCCCAGAAGGTGGAGAACCAAAGTTAAGTCAAGATGTGTTCCATTCCATGTGAAAATCAGAAGAAGCACAAGAACCCCCCCCCCCCCCCGCTTCCAGAGTTCGATGGCCAGGGAATGCACTTGCTGTCCTGATTTTCCTGAAGACTTCTCTACCTCCTCCTTACTCCCACCGCCTGCCCACATATTTCATTGGAAACAAACAAGCGCCTCACCAAATGCAATAACCGGGCATGCCCCTTCTCATCTTCCCATCAACCCACAATGGTGTTTCACTCTGTGTGCTCCCCATGGCACCTCATTCTTTCCTGCTCTCCATTATTTCTAAGAATGGGGTGCTTGTTTCTCCTTGACAGTGCATATGCTACATTGACACATGCTCTAGAAGTTTCCAGACTTTTCACTGCTGTAAACCATGCCACGTTGAATACTCTCGTGCCTATCCATTTGTGCTCTGGAATTGCCGCCATTGTTAACTACTTGAGCTGATTTGATCTTTCCCCAACACCCACACACACACAAACTTTGAAAAAGTCACATAGCCCATAGACACACTGTCTAGGTCAAAGAGAGAGAGAGAGAACCAAAAAAAAAAAAAAAAAAAAAAAAGGCTCATCAGCAGTTCTCACATCTCCACACTACTGCATTGCCTCAGCTCACCTCGACAGAAACCTAACTGGTACAACTGATTGCTCAGCAGTTCACTGATGTTACTTAGACCTGATCGATACAGAGTAATCTGAACAGACACTTGCATATGACGAGCAGAATGCTTGCACTGTAAGTTGTCCATGGCATTATGAGAACATTTGTTCTCCTAAAAGCTCGTGCTGCCAACTCCTTCTTAATAAAACATTAGTTTAGCTCTATTGGGTTGCAATTAACCTCTTTGTCATGGACTGCCTAATCTTAAAAATGAAAGGAAGTCACAGAGGCAGTTAAATCAATCTATTGGACTGCAACACAAGATTCCAATCTATAAGGAAAACGCTTAGGTAAACAATTTTGCTCTCAGCCAACGAGACTGCCTGGCATAATTACTCCTATTTCTTCTGTCAAATCCTCTCAAAAGTAAATCATTGGCTTTTGCAAGTAGGTTACTTTTTTTTTTTTTTTTTTTTTGATGTTATTTTTATTCTGGAAGAATTTTTTGTCTCATTATTGGCAAAAAGGTGACATGACTACTTGGCAGAGGGTGTTTCACACTGCAATTACCTTAGCAGTTTGGAAGTCTGTTTGAAAATCATGTACAGTATCAATGGGCAGAGATTTGGATAATGATCTTTAGAACACATAATATAATCAACAGTATAGACTTCTGGGCTGCAATTTGTGTGTTATGACAGATAAAGTATCAGATACCATTGATTGATCATCTGAACAACAGTTTCAACATTGCAATAACAGGTACAAACGATAACAAAACTATTTCATCCTGTGGAATTAGCATGAGGAAGTTTAGCTGGTTCAAAGAGCACAAGTTGGTCAAGAAAGAGCATCTCCATGAGGCCTTTGCTTAGGGAATTAAGGTGGATGTGCCTGCCAGTGAATTCCCACTGCAGAAGACAGGACAGCAATGGGAAATCTGGAGAACATAAGGCTTGAAGTCAGCCTGAGTGTTAGGTTCTTCAGCAGTCAAGTGGAGATAATTACATGAATTTTAACTGGTGAAATGAGTGATCATGAGCATAGAGTACCTGGTAGATATTGGCTATCCATCAGAATTCATAACCTTCCCTGCAGTAATTTGTGCTGTCATCTCTTACGGCATAATTCAAAGGCATTTTTGGTGTTGGGCACTACCACTCAGTTTAAGAACAAAAGCAAAATAATTCAGGATGAAATCTTGGTGAACATGGGATTTGCTATGAGCAGAGCTTCACTCAGTTAATGTAGCCATAAACTGCCACCACCACCATCTGAGCTGATCCAGAAACAAAGTTCAGAGTCCATGCCTTCAAGTCTTTCAACTATATGTCTGGATTTCTTGGTGGGAGAAATGCTAATATAAACAGGAGATAGGTATGAATACAAAGCAACAAATATGCAGATCTTAGCAGGACAGAAGTTTTTGTCTAATCAATAGTCCTTTTATAGATTCTTTCTCTTGCACTTAATTAAAACTGAACTTCAGGTAAATTCAACTTTTACCCACTGCTCATCTCCATTTCTCAGACTGGACAAAAGTAGAGAACAAAATGGTCATGGATGCTAATGAAACTCTTGACCCAGAGCTTCAGAGGACCTCTGTACTGCCCAGCAGTCCACTGTGTCCCTTGTCTAATCATGCTACAGTCTTCTGAGTCCTCTCACATATCCCATACCATCCTCACAGTCAGCCGATCACCAAGAACACAGCGCTTGGAGCAAAGCTTCTACTATTAACTCGTTAGTCTTCCCCTCTGGAATACTAGAGAAGAGGCCACTCCCAGGAATATTCTCAGTACAACTTCTGATTGTGGGAAAAAGTTAGTAGAATAGGATTCTATTGGTGAAGTTTATATTAAGTGACTCTGAGGACAAAGGCTGAGTCAAAGGTGACATCACCATCTTTTTATTCAATTTGATATTGTGGTATTATAATGAGATTACATGTACTATTTATCCAAAAGTATCATTTCTTCTTGTCTTTAAAAATAGAAAAATACACTATTCTACCAAGCCTCTCAAAATGTTCCCGTTTCTATATCACTAGCTTCAAAGACATAGTAGGATGATGACTTAATGGTATAAATATTTCATGTCTTTTGAATTTTTCATGTTAAATGTACAGTTCACATGAATAATAGAAATTAGTTCATACACAGTACTCATAGCTGCATTATGCAATGCTTTATCGGTAATCTGTTATGTACAGGGAAGACATACAAGAGTTCCAGAACAAAAAGTCTTTTCAAATTAGCCCATCTTCTAGAATTTCTGGCACTAGAAAGAGATGTTTTGTACCAATACTGTTCAGAGGTTTTTTTTTAGTTAGTGAACTCACTGTTCGACAGTCAAGTGGCCTGACTTGTATGGGATTATTCAAAAAAATTTATAGAAGCAGACAATTCAACTCAAAAGAGACCACCCCTTACACACATTCTGTGATACCTACACAGGTTGCAGAGTGACGGAGGTGAGAACAACAACAGAATGGAGAAGCATTAAGTTCAGAGATGAAAGCCAGCTCTTGAGGTATATGCACATGGCCCCCCAATTCAGGGGTAAATGCTGTCAACTCCCAGTTTCCACAAAGACAAAGTTACTAACTACCATTAAGATTCAGCAGGTCAAAACAGTGGCGGGGGAAAAAAAGGAACACGGCATGCACTCACTCATATATGGATTTTAGGGCATGTACTCACTCATGTATGGATTTTAGACATAGAGCAAAGGATCGCCAGCCTGTAATTCACACCGCCAGAGAAACTGGGATACCAGGAGGGCCCTAAGAGATTCACACAAGGTCCCTCACAGAAGAGGAAAGGGACAAGATCTCCTAAGCATATTGGGAGTGTGGGGCCGGCACTGAGTGGAGAGGGAGCTAGGAGAATCAGCTCTTCTGTTCTTTTTGCTTCCTCTTTCATTCTGTCCTTTGAGTCTCAATGGTTTGGGAGGTTAATAAAGATGGCTCATTTAGGGTTGAGCATGGAGAGTGACATTGTTGGGAAGGGGAGGGGAACTTAGAAGAGAGGAATAGGGCTGGATGTGATTGTATTTCTCTCTCTCTCTCTCTCTCTCTCTCTCTCTCTCTCTCTCTCTGTGTGTGTGTGTGTGTGTGTGTGTGTGTGTGTGTGTGTGTGTGTACGTGTGTGTGATCCTGAAGAAGAAAAAAGAGAATATCTTCCCTCATTACCTTTATTGGTGTCTGCTGAAAAAAAAAATAACAAACTATTCACACTATTATTTCCTTGGTTTGTGTCCATTATTCTTTACTGCTTCAGTATTTAGTGGTGATTGGACGATTAAGGTTTTCTGTTTCTCCCTTCCCAAGTGAATTTTGAGATTGGTCTATTTCCTCCAAGTCACCATTGGTGACCACAGGGTGATCATCATCCAGGCTTCAAAAGCCACAGGATGAGTGGAGGGAGATCTTTGATTTCCAGGTTTGGTAATTAGCATCTTGCCTTTTTCCTTATTATCAAAGACAGAGATTCCTTATCTGTGGTGATAGTTTGATTCTTAGAATCAGCCTTGAGTTTTGGTGGGTTTCCCTTAAAGTTTTCTGCTCTACAGTGACTCCTCCCATGTGGTGTCTCATCTTCAGCTTGCTGCATTTAAGATTTTCTTCTTTGTACAGCTTCCTAAGATGGAAACTAGGTTACTGGGTTTTTTAAGTCGTTTTCTTTTGTAATATATGCATCTAATATTATGTATTGTCCTGTAAGCACACCTTTACTCTCTTCCACAAATTTATAAAAGCTAAATTTTCATTTACTTCAAAATATTCATAACTAGATTTTTTGGGCTGATGGATTATTTAGAAATGTGTTATTTAATTTCCAAATTGTTGGAGTATTCTATACATTTTTCAGTTATTGAGTTCTAATTTAATTCCATTATTATCATTTTCTCAAAGGTATTGTTATTCCTTTAAATTGATCAAAATTTTTTATGACTCAGAATATAATGTATCTGCTGAGTACAACTGAGAGAAAGATATCTTTTCTAAGCTTTGTCTGAAGCACTGTGAAGTTTCAAAGAAATAAATCGGCATTCGGAACAAGGATGATTAGAAATACGTTTTCGCATTTTCAAAAGACAGTGTTAGCTGGATGTGATGCTGTGTGCCTGTAGTTCCAGCATTTGGAAGACTGAGAAAGAAGAAGCTCTGAGCTGCAGGTCAGCCTGGGTCATACAGTAAGATAAGAGAGGGGGTGGGAAGGACCTGAGCTCTAAATTAGATATTTTCCTTAATCTTCCAGAAAATGATTTCTTGGCGTCTAAAATTTCAGAGACATGTACAAATTAATTTGTTCAGTCCTATTTTCAATAGTTGGCACATGGTAAAACTTCTCTTTTTAATTTGATACTAACAAAACAAGTGAATAGATAGAAATGTAAGTATTATGTATTTAGACTCACCTGCAAAGGATAAAATAATGTCATTTTCTGTAATTATGATTGCAATTGGAAAGCTTAAATCTCTGAGCTGCTTTTTTTAAGGAGGAAGGGAAGGGAATGTTTGCCAAATGCACAGAGGCGAGCATTTCATTTTGGTCTCTTAAGAGGTTCTTTTAAAAAATAACATTTTATAAAACCTCTTTCTAAATGAATTTTAAAGTCTTCATTTATTCGACACCAGCTTCTAATTTAAACCCAGATGGAGAAAATAAATTGGGACTAAATGACATTGGAAAGAAGTAAAAGCACTCTAGGTTTCTGTAGCCACATCTCTGGATGCTGCAGTCAATAACACTCCACTTGGGAGGCTTGCATTGTGCCAGCCACTCTCTTTATGACAAAATTATACAACTTCTACTCAAGAGAACATACAGCTGAATAAACCAAAGCTGAAAGTAATCAGCCAGAGAAACTCAATCAGTTGACTAAAACTCCATCAAATTATTAACAACTCTCTGGTAGGAGCTCAGTGAAGCCAGTCCTGGCTATGTGTAATCATTCATGCTAAAGCTCAGGGTACAGGGTGTTGAAATGTCAATTAAGATGCTTCCATGCTCTACAGAATCTTCCTGCATCTCACAAGGGCGAATGTAGGAACCAACAAAAGGCCACAAGATGTGGCAGACAAAAGGCCACCAGCTTGTTAGGTACAGAAACTCCTTTTTAACTTACCTTTCGTTGAGTCATCCTCTATTGGCTGTTTGAACAGTGTGATATCCTTGAAGGTACACAAGAACAAGACCACTTTCTCATGCTCATTTCTTATTGGTGCAATCTGCATGTAAAACCAAACAGGGGTGCCTGTAGTGGGGAAGAAGGAGAAAAAGGAGTGTCACAGGGTCACAGCAAGGGCCATCTCCCCTATCCCCACTCCTCTTGCTTCTGCTACTTCTACATCAAAACAATAGCTTCTTTACTTTAATGAATACTTTAAACCAGAGTTCTAGTACAGGCCTATACTCCCAGCTACTCTAGAGGCTGAGGCAGGAAGATCTCAAATTCAAGGGTAGCATAGACTACAGAGTGAGCTCAAGGTAACTTAGTAAGACACTGTCTCAAAAAATAATTAAAATTAAGATTAAAAAAAAACCTCATAAGGGCTGGGAATGTAAGTCAATGATGGAATGCTTGTCTTGTATGCATAAGGCCTTGGATTCAATTCTCAATATAAAACAAAATAATAAAACAAGCAAAACACGTTTGACTCTATATCAGCTACTTGTTTTTCAAATTGAATGAGTGTATTTTTAGCCAAAAATGTGAACATTAGAAAGGAAAGTACAGGGTCCCTACCCAACTTGTGTATACAAAGGCAGCCTTGCTGCTGAAGTAATACCTATAAAAGCATCACCTTTAGGTCTGGGTTCTGGTGCCTCTGTTGCTCTCACAGACTTCATTCTGACAAATTCACTCAGTGTGATCACTCCTACATGCCTCTCTGGTCTTGTCACTTTGACAAGTGTTTCCAATTAACAGCAACACCTACTGCCCCAATAAGCCCAGCTCCAAGGCAAGCCTCTGAAATGTTGCCCCCTGCCAAGTCCCTAGGCTCTCTCTTCAGTCAGATGGACTTGTGTGACACCTCAATGGCTTTGACTGTGTCCCCAGTCACAGAAGGCATCAATACTTGATACCTAGTTTATACAGAGTGCTACCTGAAACCTTTAGGGCAATCCTAAAAGGGAAAGAAAAATAGCACAGGTGTTCAAAACTTGAGAATCTCGGGTGTTTCCCAGAGTCAAGGCCTCCTGCCACTTGAGCCTCAACTCTGCCACAATCTTCAAAGAAGAGCTACTGCAATCTCCAGAGGAATGAGAGTCAAAGTTTAAAGATCAGGGTCTGGAAAGACCAGGCACTAATATATTACAACAAATGAATAGACCAAAGCATGAGAAATACTGTCAAGAGAATAATTACCCATAAGGTGGCAACACACATCACAAGTTTTAAAAACTCATTTGCATCATATTTTTTCCAAAGGTGAAATAAAGCCCCTCATAATATTCATTTTTTAGGGACAGAGGGGGTTTTATCAGTTTTAGAATTTGGAGAGTAGATGTGCTGCTACCAGAGGTGAAAACTAGAAGCATCTTAGTGGTTCCCCAATGAAAACCAAGTAACAAGCTCCTTCAAACCTGGATCCCAAGCTACATCACTTGAAGCCAATGCCAATTCTGTTTAAACATCAGGCTAATAACAGTGTTCTTATATTTTTGGTTGTGAGCCTAGCCTTTAACAGATGAGCCATCTCTCCAGCCCTAGTGTTCTTAAATTATCCACTAAACTTGGGGCATCTCTCTAAGACATGTGAGAGCTAACGTCATTTAGAAACAGGAGATCTTAGCTAAGAGCACTGAAGAAAGATTTATAAGGTGATGTTCAGCTCTGTCCACTGAGTCTTTTGTGGCTCCAGCAGGCACATAGAAGGACACAGCCCATTCTAAGATGATTGCAGAATGAGAAAGAGACTTGGAAAACAATCACATCATTTCCCAGGCAGGCTTGCTCCTTGTTTTACACTGTGTGTCGGACCTGTGAGTGATGTGCAGTTTTACAAATAACCATGGCCAGTAATGGCTGTGTTCATGGCCTGGGGCTGTTACAACACAGTGAGTTAGAGGCAGAGGGGCCATAAACAAAGAGAAGGGGACATTGGAAATCCTTTTCTGTTTTCCAGGGCCTGCTAGAAATCTGGACAAAAAGGAGCTGGTGTCACACCCATGGGAACAGCCATTTACAAATTCTGGCACAGACAGGGAGGTCTGAAAAGCTGCTTCCCAATATCAAGGTAGAATTTTTCCAGCTCATAGGCTCAGACTTCCTCAGCATGAGCTGAATATTTTCAAGTAGCTGGAGAAATATCCTTTATAAACTAGTGTTATAGGTCAGATGGACAGGGAGTCTAAGAAGGATGGACAGAGGTGCACTCCCAACACTCAGAGCAGGGCCTGGCCACTGGTCACTAAGAACATAACTAGCTGCTAGGTTCTGTCTTTGCTCCAGAGATACTACTTTCCCGAGTAGAAAATGTCTTCTTTAATAATGACACTAGGTAGGAAGAGATAAAACAGAGGGGGAAAAAAACTGGTGTCAAACCCTGAGCAATAAATTAGAAACTTCAACTGCCCCACTTGCAAAATGCCATTTAGCCTAGCCTAATCATGTGATGGAAGTCTTGGAAAACTTGGAATTCAGGTATTCCCCAAACAAATTTCTACAGATATGTCAAATATCTACAGATATAACATTTTTCAAAGTCACAAAGTACATTCTTTCCAATTTGATATGCAAAAACTATTTTTAGATACAATTTACAAAATTCCTTTAAAGCTGGCTAAAATACTTGTTATGCTACCCTAATGCCTGGATAATACCTGTCCTTTCTACTAAAGGAAAATAAAAAAAAATAATAACAGATGCAGAGAATACACGGAGGAGAACAGAAGTTTTAATCTGCAAAGCTGCTGGATGTGTCTCTTAATAGCTGTATGCAGGCACATACCAATATACAGTTCCCTGTAGAGAGCCAAGCAAGCTTGAACAAAAGTCAAATACTAATTTCAAGCCAGGAGCGCAATGTAAAATATCTAAGGAGAGGTATAAGAATGCAAATTTCAAGATATTACCAATATGTTTTAAAGTAAATAAACAAAACAGAATTCCACTAAGGTACTACTGAAAAACTCAATCAATGGACTTGAGTACAATGTCTGAAAACTCAGCAAACATTTGTTAATTCTGCTTACTTGCCAAGGTAAATAGTCTTAATGGTAAGAATTATTCAATTACTTGCTAAACTTAGACCATATATCTAAATCATCCAAGGACTAACAAATCTACATGGAAAGGAAGGGGCTTGGACATTTGGGCATCCTATGAATCATAACTGAACTCTGGAGGCTAAGAGAGAAGCCCCAGAAAGCCTCCACAGTCTCTGCTACAGAAGCAGACATCACTACCTTCAGAATGGATTGTTTTCTTTGCCACAAGCAGCTGAGTATGACTCCAGTCTTGACTCTAACCTGAGAGAATGATTAAAGTTCTGATAGGTAAAACCACAAAAGATAATGCTCCTGTTGCTCACTAAATGCACTGCTCTGAGGCAACATCTATTCTATGGCTGCTGTTATCCTTTTGTAGGTCTAGTGCTAAAAGAAAAATCTAATTTTAATTCCACATATTCCATAAAGAATAACAGATTGAAGGAAATGTTAGGACAAAAATGTGCACCACAAGATCCAGCATATACTAAACCTAGGAAAAAAATAAAAGAGTGTTCTGATGATGCAAGGATGTGTGTCACACTTAAGGAGACTACAGTAGCCACTGAAGATGAGGATGAATCTTTGTCCTCATTTATCATGAAAGTACACTACACACACACACACACACACACACACACACACACACACACACACACTTTCAATATACATTTTTATTGGAAAAAAAATTTCTTACACTATATTCTGATCTCAGTTTCCCCCTCTCCCAACACCTCCCATTTTCTCCCTACCACAATATCCATCCAATACCATGTCTTCTCTCTCTCTCTCTCTCTCTCTCTCTCTCTCTCTCTCTCTCTCTCTCTCTCTCTCTCTCTCCAGACAGCAAACAGGCAAAAAAAAATCCAAGCCAGAATTTTATAAAAGAAAAAGCACAAGAAATACACACAAATAAACCCATAAAAACAAAAAGTCAGAAATCATAATGTGCAAGCAAAAGAAGACAAGTAAGACAAAAAAAAATGGCCAAAATGCAGTATGAGACAAAAAGTCGACAAAAACACCATTGAGTTTATTTTGTGTTAGCCATCTACTGCAGGGCATGGCCCATGCCCTTAAGTGTGGTTAATGTACTGAGAGACCCCACTATAGAAACTAGCTTTGACTTTGCCTGCAGATGTCATTTGGAGATGGCTTCTTGGTTAAGGATTATGAAGGGACCTTTCATATCAAGAAGAAAAAAATTGAAAAAGCAATAAAAAGAAAGGAAGTTCACTTGACCATGCAATGAAACCAAGTAAAAGTAGAAGACTTGACGGTTAAGGATATGCACTGAGTCTTGGTGGTAGTGGCCTCAATTGGCTGCTTAATTAATTGTTGTTTTAATCTCCCAAACAAGGCTGTCCATGAGGTTCTATGTGATGGCATTGTTAGCAATTGATTGTGTCCAATTCTAATCCTAGGGAATATTTACAACAATCAGCAGACATTTACCAGATGTGATTTGCCTATTCTGAAGGAGATGCCTATGCCCACAACTATTCCACAGGCAATAGTCAATCCTAGATAAAGGTTATATTTGTAAAGACTGACATGAAATAACTGCATACCACCTCACTAACATCTGTGTAGCAACCATAAGAAGCAAATCCTGTAATACTATAATTGTGAACACACATTAGTACAGGCCACTATACAAAAACCTACTCAGAGACTAATTTTAAATTTTTAAAACAGAATCACCATATGTTGTAGCAGTCTCATTTTCTGGTTATTTAACATAAAGAATCTGATAAACAAAGGCATATCTCACTCTCATGTGCACTGCTCTACCATCCGCAATACCCAATTTTACCCAATTTTACCCAATTTTATAACTAACCTAAGTCTCCACTTAATAGATGAACTTATAAAAAATGAAATGCGTATACAAAGGAGAATAGTGCTCAGCATTTAAGAGAATTTCTTGAGTTGTGGAGATGACTCAGTAGGTAGAAATGCTTGGTGAGTAAGCATGAGGGCCTGAGTTTGGATCCCAGAACCTACAAAACAAGCCAAGCATGACTGTATGCGCTTATAACCCCAGCTTTGGGATAAACACGGGAGAAGGAAAGGGGCAGAGACAGATGGATGACAGGGTTTGCAGACTAGTCTATCTGAAAAATAGGATGCTCTGGTGAGAGGCCTTGTCTCAAGAGGGTACTTCAGATGATCACAGAAGATGCCTAATGTCCTCCTCTGGCCTCCATATGACTGTCACATCATCTGGTGGTTCTACTTTAAATTTTTAAATGTATACACATGCATATATATATATATACATATATATATGTATATATATATATATATAATACACATACACAGAAAGAGAGAGAGAGATTATGGTTTTGCAACAACATAAATGGAATAAAAGATCATACTAAATACTAAGTAAAATAAGCCAGGCACAGAAGACCAATATAAAACATATACTCATTTTAAGTGGAATTAAGTTGATTAAACACATATCAAATAGCAGCGGTTCTCAGCTATAAGGTTGGGGTAGGAAGGAAGAGATGTTCTAGGGATACAAAGACTGTGTGACACATGAGAAAAGCTTCTCTGTCTAGTTATGAGATGTATTGCACAGCATGATGAATATGGTTAATAATAACAGTATTCTGCAGACACCAAAGTTGCTAGGAGATCAATTTCCAGTCTCCCCACCACAAAAAGTAGATATGTGAAATGCTATCATTTGATTCAAGTATTCCTATTGCAATTTTCAATCATAGTGTCACTTTTACCTGATAAATATGGGTACCATGATGTTGAAAATGAAAATGCAAGCCTTGAGAGGTGGCTTGTGGTTAAGAGTTCCTGTTGCTCTTATAGAGGATCTGAGTTCAGTTCCCAGCACCCACATGGCAGCTTACAAGCCTCTGCAACAACACTCCTGGGAGATATGATACCTTCTTCTGACCTTGGCTGGTACCAAGCACACACATTGTATATACATACACACATGAAGGAAAACACTTGTGCACATAATATATTTTTAATTGAATAAAAATAAAAAAATTGTAAAAATAAAATAATATCTACCATTTTGCTTCTATTCTTTGAGATGATCTTTTCATAGGTAGAATTATTTATAAATTTTTTTCTAATTTCACCAGCAACCTCTCCCCCTACTCCAAGAGCAGTAATGGCACATTGTATCTTCTCTACCATATTGCTTAGCTACCATTTCCTGAACTAACATTTAGAAAGACCTAGGTCATCTTATTGATAACAGAAATACCTACGGTTTTTTTTGTACAGAAGAACTTCAAAACAGTTTGACTCGTAGTTGTCAAAAGTCTGCCTGACTTTCTCAATGGTCTTCTTGTCGGTTAATTCTCCATACATAAAACTGGAAGACAAAAATCCATTTCATATTTTTGTGTCACTTTAAAATGATTATATAAAATCACATCATTGTCTACAATTTAAGTATTTGCCCAATATGATGTCCATGCACAATGAATTAAAATATGTAAACTGTATTTCAGAAAAATGCTTGTATACATTAGAAGTTTGCAACATGTGGTAGGATATATATATATATGATCAGTAAAATGTTAAGCCATGTTTTAATCACTGTTGCTAAAACTTTTTTGCTAGTGCCTTAGAAGTTCTTGTATATAGAGAAATAGAGCGGCAGAAAAAGTAGCTCCTATAGTTTCTATATACACAAATTCCGATTATTGTGGTACTATTAAACATGTTTCACACCAGCACTGTTTGTATCTCAGTTATCATGGTATGTTAACTGTAACTTCATGAAGAACAAGCCATTGGAAGACACTGGTACAGCCACACCCACTTTATCCATTGTTTTTCTTTTCCTGGTTTCAAAAGGTCAAACATAACCCAAATTACAAATTCTAGAATATACAATACAAAAGTTTAAAATAATGTGCTACTCTAAACAGTATGATGAAAGCTCTTGCAATCCTGCTCCATGCCCCACTCAGGGATGTGAACCCCACTGCCTGCTCAGGGTATCCAAAATCTATAAAAGTACATATATTCTACATGCTCCCCAGTTGGTTTTTAACTCACTGTCTCAGTTAGCAAATCAGCCACTTTAGTGTGATGTTGAGAATGTTTAATAATGATCCCAAAATACAATAAAAATGACTCAGGAAATTCAAATTTTCTGAAGAGAAGCCATAAAATACTTCTTCAGTTGAAAAATAAAAGTACAAATAAAAATGTATTTTTGAGAGTGCCCACAGCTTATTATAATGCATTATTATAATTGTTTTGTGGTGATTATTATTATTGCTAATGTCTCACTATTCATTCCTTATGTGTGAAAAATTACAATAGATATATATGTATAGAAAGATATACACTGTTTGGCCCTATCGCTACTTCCAGAATCCACTGGGGAGGTGTCCTGTAACATATCCCAAGCAGGAAAGGAAATTTTCATCAATAATAGCAGCCAATCTAGAACCATAATCAATTGCCTGATCTCCTTCAGAGTCTTTTAATATCAGTAGCTGCATTTGTTACTTAGCTCACACAGGTAGAGAAGCATGTAGCTATGCTACCTTCTTGTCTCATGTGATACTCCCATGCAGCATTTTTTTTTAATGGACAATAGGTGAATAGGACAATAAGTGAAGACTAGTTGATAAATACTAAGTTGTACCAAAGAAATGTAAGATAGCAATTGTGCGGGAAAGTGAGGTTAGAGAAGACAAAGGAATGTCGCTTCTGCTGCCAGTTGAGAGACTGTACAAATCTTCAGAGTGATTTCCTGACCATCAACAAAAACGAGGAAACTGTTTCATAAATAAATGTATCCTGTAGGAGAATTCCAAAGCTGGTGTCTGGAGCAGATACATGTTGATATGGCTAGAACATACCAAAGTAAACACAAGATCAAGGAGTGAGCTTCTACATACCACAAAAGTTGTCCACTGTTAATGGTAGAAGAAAGCCTATGGAAAGATGACTGACTAGTGGCAACAGAAGTGACTACAAAGAAAGGAAAAGATAATATGAAGGAAGAGCCGTTACTATTCAGTGTTTGCAATAGACAGCTAGAATTCAGAGTGGATGAAACAGAGATAATCTGAGACGTGAGGGCTGCAGACAGTTGAGTAAAGAAGGAAACAAAGTCTTCTATTAACTGCCCCATTACCCATGTCAAGACCAGATTGGCACTCAGAAAGTTCTACCACAATGAGAAAATACACAGGAGATGAGACCCCCAACATCCCACACTGGCACCCTAAATTTTGGGGACTGTGTAAACCTGCATCCTCCCTGAATCTTCATGGAGGGCATGTCATTACACTGCTTTAGACAGATGAGGAACTCATGTCATGAAGCACACTCTCTCCTCCCTGGGATGCTGCACACAGCACCTTCCTTCCCACTATGTGACTTCTTGTGCAACTTCCTCTCAGGATGCTAGGGTGGCTCTGCCTCTGCATTATCACCGGAGACTGAATAGATGCACTCCATAGTACACAGAAGCCCTGACACTTCTGCCATGGAAACAATACCACATATGCCTAAGGACCCTCTAATCCGGCTTCATTGGAACATGGCCCACAAAAATTGACACACAGCCCTCATGTTTTGCATGTATGCTGAATTATACTTGCTCAAGCCCACTAAGTAAGCACTCTTCCCTACTTTTTTGTGTACCATACCCTACTAGGCTGCTGGAGTACCCCACCTGACACCCCAGCAGAAAGCAACAGTCTTTATGATCCTGATTCCCATGAACTGCTCTCGCAGCCACTGTACAGTTGAAGTTATTTGAAGACCATACCTGCAGTAGCCAACTTGAACCAAAACCAATACATCCTACTAATCAGATAGAGTCAAAAAAAATTCTTCCAATATGAAAGGCATGCAGTAGTGGAGACAATGGATCCACCAGACATTCAAATGTCCACATAAGGAAACATGAAGTCTGAAAAAGCAAGGTAACATAATAGATCTAAAAGAGTGCAATTACTCTCCGAAAAGATTCCAGAGATGGGGAAACAGACAAAATGCCTGAGTGAGAATTCTAAAGAACTGTTTGAAGGGCATTCAATGACATATAAGAGAATTTAAATAATTCTGTGAAACAAGGAAACCAATTAATGAAGTGAATAAGAAATTCAACAAGGGGAAAATCATCAAAAGGAACCAACTATAAACATTGGACCTGAAGAATGAAATAAGTCAAATATAAGACATGAACAAGAGTCTCAACAAGCTAGATCAAGCAGAAGAATGGCTCAACTTAAAAGCCGACCTTTTGAAATACCACTGTTACACTGAAGAGATAAAAGGGAAAAATCATTAGAAGGAACAAAGAAAGTTTCCAAGACTGATGAGATGTGTGTAAATGAACAAATGTTCAAATTATGAACTTTCCAGGGCATAAGGAAAGGGGAAAGCATACAAAATATATTCACCTAACAAATGAGTCCCAGTTCCATCCATTTTCTTGGATATGTCATGATTTCATTTTTCTTTATGGCTGGCTAAGAACCCATTGAGTCTATTACCACATTTTATTTACCCATTCATCTACTAATAGACATCGAGACTAGTTTCAATACTCCACTACTGTGAATGATGCAACAAAGACCATGGATGGGCAAGTATCTCAGTGGTAGGGCTCAGAGTCTTCTGGATGCATATCCAGGAGTAATGGAGCTTGGGGATATTGTAGTTTTCAGGTTTGGGTAAGCTCTATACTAGGAATGGGTGTGAGTATCATTTGATAGAGTACATCCATAACATGAACAGAGACCTGGGTTTGATCTCCAGCACTGCATAAAACAGGACACAGTGGCACATGTCTAGAATTCCAGAAACAGAAGGCAGAAAGAGAAGGATCAGAAGTTCAAGGCCCCCCTTGGTGAGTTCATGGTCATGCTAAGCAACATTAAAACAGAAGATGAGACTTCCATACTGACAAAGGAAAAGCTGATAGCTTCCTTAAGCTTAGAGAGATAGAGACATAGAGGAGGCCCAGAAAGCTCAAAAGCCCCTAATCGATTTGACTCAAACATATCTTCACTACATTTCATAGCCAAACTAGCAAACTCTAAAAGAAAAGAAAGAACATTCACTCCCACTTAACATCACCCCCACTAAATTCATGGGAGATTTTTCAGCAGAAAACTAATAGACTACAAGACAATATAACACAATATTAAAAGTTATGGGGGAGGGATTGTTAACTAAGACTATTACACTTAGAGATGCTATGGAGGAGCAAAGCTACAATGCCTGAGGTTACTGTCCCAGATACAAGTTAGGGAATCCATCATCCCTATAGCAGCCTTAACACTATATGCTCAAGGGAAGCTACACCTGAAGAATGAAAAAGAAAAAAAAAGAACAATAGATATCCCTGGGAAAAGATACAAAAGACTAAAACCCTCTAGAAGAGCAGATACATAAAAGATAAAGAGAATCAAATCTCACCCATACAGAAAACAACAAAGATAAAGCATCAAGCTTAATGATAATGTGGCTGTTTGAAACCAGAAAATGAACAAAATGACACAAATAGTTCTATGCATAACATTAATAAAACTTGGACGAATGCACATTAAAAGCCCCAAGTAAAAGATAAATATTGGCTGAATGGACCAAAAAACAAGAGACAGCATTTCACTGTCAACTACTGGCCCAGTTGGGGGTCTCCTCCATGGGAGAAAGGGCTCCAGTAATTAGGTCGGTAAAAGAGATGTGGCTGGAATCTGTTGTAAGTCTACTTTAGTGAGAGCATTAGATATATACACATGATTTAGAAACTTACATTTGATAAGTGGTTTACACGTTGACAACTTATTTTGAAACTAAAAGAACTGAGTAGAAAGTACCTTTTGAGTACCATTTGGCCTCCAGACAGTGGTTAAGAGTCTTAGACCTGAGATTAATTATATTTTTAGAATTTTGTTGATCTGACTTTTATGTAAAAATGTAGAAGTTTGTAAAGCTTAATATATGTATAGCCAGTTAGGCCAATTTGGCTGTTTTTGAAGCCCCCTTTATCTAACATTTGGGAGAGGTGAGTATATAATTTTTGTAATTGTCTTGTTAAACTAATTTCGTCCCTTTTGTCAATAAGTATTAAGGAGGCCTCGTTTTGGCTAATCTCTCCATAAAGTCAAGTGTGTAATATACTTTTTTATCTGTATTTACCCTTTTATTTCCCTGATCATTATATATTTCTGTATACAGCATAGGAGGGAGGGGTTGTATGTTTGAGTCTCTGGTGGAGTCTGTGTGACATTTCACCATTAAGGATAGACAGACACAGAAACTAACTGAATGGAAAAGTCACTCCACACCAAGCAAGCAATGATGGCTATAACTAGATAAGCAAACTGTAAACCA